GTGCAAACTGGGCCAATATAACCAAAATGAAAACACATACATACATTGTGCAAAAATGAAAAATGATGTAAGAATTATATAAAATAAAATATTAAAAAAATCTCAGGGAATACTGAAAAAAATTTAATCTCTTTTTAAGATAAAAGATTATTTTATTTTTATTCTACTATTTTTCATTGAGGTAACATTAGTTTACAACACTGTATGTGACAAATTTAGAGGTATAGGTACACACTTCTTTAGATGTATATTGCTACACCATACCCACCACCAAAGCACCCATAATCCTCCAACATACTCTAATGCAATCCTCACTTGCTTTCCACAGCCTACCCTTCTCCTCTGGTAGTCTCAATTTTGTAGGGGAGCACAGTCTATCACATTGTATTTGCTATTTAGCCAGAACCTGGCCTGATAAGGGAAAGATAATCAAGAAGAATGAAATTGAGTCCCTAAAGAGGGAAGTGAAAAAAATGCAGGAGATCAAAGGATTAATGGGGGAGCTAAAGAACTCTGGGAAAAGCAATGAAAGCAGAATAGATGAAATGGAAGAATGAATAAGTACTCTCAAAGACACAGAAATAAAAAGAACCAAAACATAAAAGGAAAGTGAAGTGAGAAGGATAAAGAATGAAGAAAGACTTCGGGAACTATGAGACTCCTTGAGGAAAGGAAATATAAGAGTTATAGAAATCCCAGAAGGAGAGGAGAGAGACATAGGAACAGAGAAAATATTCAAGGAAATAATTGAAGAGAACTTCCCAAACATGAAGAAGGGGCTGAAAATAGACATACAAGAAACAAGAAGAACGCCAAACTTCCATGATGAAAGGAAAAATACAGCAAGACACATAATAATAAAGCTCCCAAGAATCCAAAACAAGGAAAAAATAATGAAGCTGACAAGAGGGAAGAAACAGATAATATATAAAGTAAAACCAATCAGGCTGACATCAGACTTCACCGAAGAAACACTAAGGGCAAGGAGAGAGTGGAGGGACATAGTCAACAAATTCCAAGACAACAAATGCCAACTAAGAATACTCTATTCCGCAAAGCTTTCCTTCCTCTATGAAGAAATAATAAGGACCTTCCCAGACAAACAGAAACTCCAGAATTTCATTACGACTAAACCCCCACTCCAAAAAGTAATACAAGGAGTCCTAAAGTCAGAACCAACAGAGAGGTGAATAAGAATGAAACAAGACCAAAAAAAAAAAAATTATTAAAAAAAAAAATAAAACCAGAGAAAAGACCAACAAAATGGCAAATACAGATGCTAACATATCAATATTAACTCTAAATGTAAATGGACTAAACACAATAAAAAGACGCAGAGTCGCAGGCTGGATTAAGAAACAAAACCCAACCTTTTGCTGTCTCCAGGAAACACATTTATCTACAAAAGATAAAAATAGACTGCAAGTAAAAGGATGGAAAACAATCCAACAAGCAAATGGACGAAAAAAGAAGGCAGGAACAGCTATACTTATATTAGATAAAACAGATTTCAAACTCAAAAAAGTAAAAAAAGTTTCCCGACAGTCATTACATTATGATCAAGGGGACAATACTTCAAGAAGAAATAACACTCATTAACATATACTCACCAAATGAAGGTGCACCAAAATATATCAGACAACTATTATCATGTCTGAAAACAGATATCAGAGAAAACACGTATATAGTAGGAGACTTCAACACACCACCATCAACAACGGATAGATCAATGAGACAAAAAATAAGTAAGGACACTAAAGCTCTAAATAAGGATCTAGAGCTCATGGGCTTAACAGACATCTATAGAACACTAAACCCAAAAAAATCTGAGTGCACATTTTTCTCAAGCGCACACGGATCATTCTCCAGGATCGATCACATACTGGGACACAAGACAAACATCAACAGATACACCAAGACTGAAATCATACCAACCATCTTCTCTGACCATGAAGGCATCAAACTAGAAATAAACCATAAAAAGAAGGCATGGAACTCTCCTACCTCATGGAGATTGAAACCCATACTAATGGAAGACCACTGGACTAATGAGGAGATCAAAGAAGAAATTAAAAAATACTTTGAGTTGAATGACAAGGAGGACACCAATTTCCTAAATGTATGAGATGCAGCAAAAGCAGTAATAAGAGGAAAACACATAGCAATACAGGCTCACATCAAGAAACAAGAAAGAACTCAAAGACACAACTTAATCTCACAGCTCGAAGAACTAGAAAAAGAACAACAAAAAAAAACCCTAAAACCAGTAGAAGAAAAGAAATAATAAAAATCAAATGAAATCCAAACTAAAAAAAAATCCAAAAGATCAATGAAGCCAAAAGTTGGTTCTCTGAAAAAATAAATAAAATAGACAAAGCCCTAGCCAGGCTCATAAAGGAAAATCAGGAGAAAGCACAAATAAATAGTATCACAAACGAAAGAGAAAAAAATCACAACAGACACAGCAGAAATCAAAAGAATAATCAGAAACTACCATAACAGTTATATGCTAACAAGTTCAACAATCTAGAACAGATGGACAAATTGCTACAACTCTACAATCGCACAAAGCTAGATAAAGAAAAAATAGAACACCAAACAGACCAATTACAAGCAGTGAAATTGAAATGGTAATCAAAACCCTCCCCAAAAACAAAAGCCCAGGACCAGATGGATTTACAAATGAATTCTAACAAACATTCAGAAATGAATTAGTGCCTATCCTTCACAAACTCTTTCAAAAATTGAGAAGGAAGGAATAATACTAAACTTGTTTTATGAAGCCAACATTACACTAGATTAAATGACTTTAAAGTTCACATAGAAAAAGATGTGCATGAAAACTAAAACTTTGAAATGAATTTAGTAAGTGCAGATTTACCCTACTAGGTATTAAAGCTTATTATAAAACTACTACAATAAAAATAGTTTTATATAGTATCATTAAAATAGATAAATTGATTAGTGAAATGGAGTATATAATCCAGAAATATATATCCAAATATTTATGGGAACTTAATATAAGATGAAGATGACACTGCTGTAAAAAAGGAAAAAAATAGTTTAATTAAGGGATATTATTATCAAATTGACTATCAACTGAAATAAAATTAAGTCAAACTCTTAACATCATAAATATAACTGATGTATTATGTATTAAATTTTAAAACACTGAACTTTATTTCAATATAAAGTTTCCAAGATTATTTGGATAAACTTGGAACTATAAAATCTCCTTAATTTTTTCTTTAAAAAAAAAGAGATATCAGAAAGAGAACTACTTGGGCAGTATTTCATAAACTTAAATCTCAATGCCATAACATTTTAACTTTATAAAGTGTTATAGTTCTAACCAAGTAAAGTTATATTTTGGCACTTTATGTTGAATAAAATTCTAGGACAATATAAGAATGATATATAAAGTATCACTTAATTCCTATTCTTGCTGCCCTATTTTTCTTCTTGAAAGCACTGAGAAACTACATGTGGGCTCCTAAGCGAGCTGCAGGAAGTAGACTGATCAATATAAATTAGTCCTACATCTAAAAATTTAGAGGTGTATATGTCTAAATATATGTCAGACTCTTTTAACTATAGAAAACTTCCAAGATATTATTCTAATGCCTCTGAAACTACTTCCTTTACTACATTCTTTATAGATGAATGTCTTTACTACATTCTTTGTACATGGCTTTAAAGAAAAAACTTAGGAAGAAAAATACATTATATTTAATTTCAAATGTGTTTCAGAGTTAGGTTAAGATCATAAGATAACCATGCTTCATCAAAAGAAACAAAAGTGACATTTGTTCTATTTTTTACTCTTGGGCTTCATTACTAAATTATATAAAATACTTTTAAAATTATGTACACACTATATATACCATATATAAAGTATATATATGTTCTTTGTGTCCCTCTCATTTACTTGATTCCAATATGCTTTCTTAAAGAGAAAAGAGAGATGCTAAGTGTAGACAGTATACTCAGGTATGCTCATAAACCTGGGTATTTGTATACTGTGACACATTTACTATAGAACAAAAGAGATTGTGAAATACTGGAATAGACAGATATTACAGAACAGAATAGAAACAATTATTCAGATTTTATGTTGAATTGCTTAATACTACTAGTTAAGAAATAAAAGTCTGTCCTGGTTGTTGAGGACACAACAGAAGTCAAGTCTATCAGGATTTGTTTCTTCTTTTTTAAAATTGTTTTATTTTAAACTGATGTAACAATTGATTTATAATACTCTATGTGATTTACTGGATGAGGTTTACACTTCTTCAGATACAGGTTACCACACCACATCCACCAACAAAGCACCCACATAGTCCATTATAGTCCACTAAGGGTTCCTTTCCTCTTGAAGCTTACCTTCTTGTGAGGAAGACAGATATGAAACAATTTCCAACTACTAATTCTGTTTATGGCAAGTGCTTAAAGGGAAGGTACAGAGTACTGGAAGATAAAAGAGGGATCTAGTCTAATCTTCATGAAGTAGTTAGGGAAAACTTTTCAAGGAATGTGAGGTTTAAATTTAAGACTTCCAGGTGTGAGCTGTAGTAAGTTAGGCAGAATAAGGAGTGAAGGGCAGAGAAGTGGTATAAGGGGAGAAAAGAACTGTTTCTGAAATGTTCTAAGGTAGGAAGTAACTGATGGGAGCTTTCTAACAACCTCCCATACTGCATCTGTAGTATGAGAATAAACTAGTTGATGGTAGGGGACAAAATAGATGAGGTGGGTAGAAAGCCTCAGAAACTAAGTGATCTATATTCTTTCCCCTGAAAAATAAAAAACTGTTGAAGAATTTTATATTAAAGGTCAGTTTATATTTTCAGTATTTCCAAGCTTAATATTTTTTATTTAAACTGCTATTTTGAATAAGTTCTACTTATAAAAACTATTTTGACTATAGGTGAAATGGTTTCCCATTTCTGCTCCAAATCCACTTCCCCAAAGACACAATATTGGGAAAGACTAGCATTGCATACCCTGTTTCCTCTGGAAATGCAGAGTTGGTGTTTCCATCGATTTGACACGGGTCCTGAGAAGAAGACTCAGAATCTTTTCTATCTTGATTTGCAGCAATATTGGTTATTCGATTTTGTTGCAAGTCCCATTTTCGAGCTACGTTGTTAATTGTTAACCTTTTCTTCTCCTATGAAAAATTCAATTGTGACAAGAATTACATTAATGCAATTTATATATCAAGAAAGTATCCAAGGAACATATTTTTGTACTACTTACACTTTTAAAAGGAACATATTCCTTAAAAGTAGCTACCAGGGTCTCCCGGGTGGCACTGGCAGTTGAGTGCAGCGCTGTGAAGCTGTCTGCAGCCTCTGCAGCATGGGTTTAATCCCAGCTGCCCGGGGGATACCCACATGGCACAGCAGACCTCTGTCTCACCCGCTGCTCCCCTCAGCAGTGTATTTCAGTCATTCTGCCTGTTCTGTTCCCCACTCTGTCTCTGGTGAATCCTCTCACCCTCCTGCACATCTGGCCTGTACCCTGGTTCTTGTATGCATGAATATAATAAATCTTTTTAAAAAATGTAGCTACCAAAAATGAATTCTAAAAAAAAAGTACATGGGGTCTTTATTTGTTCTGTGTATTCAAACATATCAAAAATGGTCAATCATCTTTAAAGAAAAAGATTATACAGAACAATAATTATTTCCATTGGAGACAGGAAAACTCACTGTCTGAAAGATTAATTTGACAGAAATTTATATATCTCTGTGTTTAAATATAGCAAGAAGTAACTAATATTTTAATCTTCCTACCCAACAATTAGAATATGGTGGAATAATCTTGAAGATTTAGGAGGTGGGCAGAAGGAGGAAAAACAGGAATTGATCAATATTCAAAGCATCACAACATAAATTATAATATCTGAAAATTCATAATTAGATATAGGTGATTAAGAAAAATTGTGCTAGGTTGAAATATTTCTAGCTAACCAATACTACCCTAAATGAATAGGAAAGAAGTTAATTCATTATATGCAGTAGATGCCTTAGGTAAGTGATTCTCAAACTTTAGGGTATCTCAAATCATCTGAAGAGCTTTAAAACACCAATTGCTGGTTCTTACCCCATTTATAATTTAGTGTGTTTTGGGGTAGGGCTCGAGAATTTGCATTTCTAACAAGCTCCCTGGTTGCTAATGATACTGGCTCACAGATCTCACTTTGAAAACCACTAACTTAGGGCTTTGGGACTCCATTTTCTCACAGAAACCTGGAGAGAAAAGCAGATCTTAACTACTGAACCTTAACTGCTGCACTAGGTTGAAACTGTTTCTACTCATTTTATAAAAATTGCTGAGGAAAAACAACCCCTATTCTGGCAAAGTGTCCATTATCAAAAGTTAACATATTAAAATGGCATGCCAGTTAGATCCAGGTGCTGAAAATATACTCTTTCTATTTCGTCTTTACTAAGCTTACAATCATCCAGTGAAAAATCAGCTCAGTATGATACTGATCCCTCTGTAACTGCTCCCTGGGGAGTCGGTGAAAGCTGTTAGATAGGTTCTTTGCCAATTCCTTCATTGCATACACACACACAGAGAGAGAATAATTACTTTTAGTTCCAAGTCGCTGCCTATATATGGTTATCTAAAATTTTAGCATGTAGGAATGGAATTGAATGCAAAGTGATGAAAAAGCTTAATTAAAAACTAAACTTTTTAAAAACTCTATTTCTATGTTTAAAATTTTCTTAGGATTTTTTTCCTAATGCTTGTTATTTAAAATTTGTCAATATAGGTAAGTAGGTTATACTCAAAATATGTGTATACTTCTCACACTTTTTGATATTTTATATATCCTCCTTATCTTTAGCAAGTGGAATCTACTATTCTACTCTAAAAACTTTGTTCCTCCGAATCTATAATAAAAAAGCATTCTTACCTTAAGGAATTCTATTTCAGTTATCTGCAAATGACTGGGCAAACCCAAATCTTAATCTAAGCAATGACATTATTTTTACTTAGTGCCAAGGCACTTTGAAAGAGGCAGGGTCCGTGAGTAATGGAAGATGATTAAAGTGCTGGCTTCATGCATTTGGTTTTCTGGATGACTGGGGATTGGCAGAAAGAAATATTCTTAGTAAAATAGGTAGAGCAGGGCTTAGAATAAGACAAAATGTCTTTATACCACTGAGCATGTTAAAAAATGACAATCTGAAAATGCAAACATTTCCTATAGCCATGCCCAAAGTAAACTTTAAGGGTTACCAAAAGGTTATTAAAGTCACAACAACACCAGGTTGACTAAGAGAATATCTATTCTGTTTTCACTGAGTCCAAAAAAGGGAAGACATTTTAAAACAGGAATGTAGCCTGGGGTCAGGTGGAGATCATAAGCATTTTATGTATCTGTGGAACAAGAAAAACAAAGCAAAAGGAAGGCAAGAGATTCTGCAAAACAGAAAGAGGGTACCCAAGAAAATGTTATGTTCAAAGATCAAGAATGCACTTAGCATATCAATTACAAGCATTTTTTAAAGCTACATGGCAATAAATTTTCAAGTCTGTGGTAAGGAGACATTTTTAGAAGATACCAAATTACAGCTTCTGTCACTTGAACAGTATCACACCAGTATGTGCCAGACTTGACACTTCCATTCAACCCAGGACGTTGCATGGAAAATACAAAAGCAACAAGTCAGAAGGTATGTGTCCATGTGCTCTTCATGTGCATAAAATTACTCATTTAATTTCATTTATTTATTTATTTATGGTTGTTTCACATATTTGAATTGTTTGCATAAAAGCAGTATCTATCACATTACATCACTACAGTACAGTATTATTGTCTATGCTCATTCTCCTATATATTACATCTGTGGCTTATTTACTAGTTGCCACACATTTGTACCTTCAAACACCATCATTCTGATCCCCCTAACTCCTCCTTTCCTGCTACTTTAAAAACTTTGTTCCTCCACATACTCTGCTTTTTTCACAGACTTTTCTATAGTTCACATATAAATGAAATCTCTCTCTGACTTTATCTCACTTAGCATAATGTGGTCAAGGTCCATTCAGTTCTCACAAATGGCAGGAGGTCCACCTTCTCATGGCTAACTAGTAACCTTTTGTGTATATAACTGACATAATTTTCATCCATTCATCCACTGATGAACATTTGGGTTGTTTTCATAGGTAGGCTATTGCGAAAAATTGTGCGATAAACCTAGGTGTGCATGTACATACTCAAAATCCTGTTTTCATCATGCCACAAATGGCATGAGTTTACTTTTTTTGATCACTGAGTAGTATTCCATTGCCATTTGTGGCAACATGGATGGAGCTGGAAGGGATTATGCTAAGCAAAATAAGTCAGAAGAAGATAATATTGTTTCACTTATATGTGGAATATAGAGGAACCAAACAAAAGGTCAGCAAAGACAAACACGGAAAGCTGACCATAGATCTAAGGCATCCAGGAGGGGGAGAGGTGAAAACTGCTGAGAGGGGAAGAGCAGTTATGGTGTTTGGTAGTGGGTAAACTATGGTGACCACACCAGAAGGGAGAAATGCTATCCTGTCAAAAAATTAACAAGGATTTAAGAAAAAGGTACCTTATTAAAAAAATTAATTTAAAAATAAATAAGAGCTTATAAAGTGATTGGTTACAAAAATCACTTTTTACACTGAAAACTAATAAAATGTTACTTGTCAATCATATCTCCATTAGAAAAAGAAAACATGCAGCAGAGGGCACTAAACTGTATCAGTAAAGCTGACAGTCTATTATAGTAATTTCCAAAATGGACTGCACAGGCCATTAAATACACAATGCACTGGCATAGAAAAAAACTAAAATTTTCAAAAAAGTTTTTTTCATAAGGTTAGTTATATTTACTGTATCTTTTAACATTCTTTCCTTTTGTATGTATTTTATAATATACATTATACTGTATTTTAGAAGTACAGGTTTCTTTATAGGTAGTAATATATGTTTTAGCATTGTTTCATTTATAAAAATCATCATACTGATAGGAATGAAAAATTCGCAAAGCTTGGAAAGCATTTTTTTGTATGACAAGCTAACTAGCTTCAGTTGGCGTGACTGCACACACATACATGTAGACATAAGTGAAAATACCTTAAGCAAAGACTGTTTATGACTTTCCCGCTTTTTCTCTTCCTCTTTTTTGGCTACAAGAGATGCCATACGCCTTTCTTCTTCCTGAAAGGAATTTTAAAAAAGTATTAAGTAGTTAGCCTTTCTAAGCTAAGTATCTTTGATTTCAGAAGCCTGCTTTTCTTTGTAAGATGCATACTACATGCTAAAAGACAATAGGCTGTTAAAGAAAAAAAAGTTAGCATGTTGTTCTTTATTTTCCTCTTCTTAACTTAAATCTTTTCATTTCTATCTCACCTTAAAATATTCACTATGAACAAATTTCTTAAAGTTGCAATCTGTTTACATAATCTGGATCATTTCCCCCTTGAAGACTGCCATGTTTTAATAGAGTAAATTATAACCACAGAACTTTCAATTTTATCAAAAGATTCATAGGCTTTCAAAATGATGTCACAATTTGAGAAAACAATTCTTCCTAAAAGACAAGTTTGAAAATATCTTTAGAGATAGGAAGCTTTATAATGTAATTTAGCAGATTTGAAGTACTCTTTAAAAATAAAAAAATATAAAAACAAATTAAAAATGCAATGAGGGGGCTTAAACAAAAGATTTTACACAGCTGAAAAGAGAACCAGTTAATTGGAAAATGTGTTAGAAGACTTTTCCTCTATGCTTTCATAGGATCCTACACTTGCTGCATCAAGGCATTTAACCGGTTTCAATTTTAATTTTTTCCGTCACTATTTTCCCCTGTTCTGCCCCAAACAGGTCCATTAAGGTAGGGACCATGTCAGCTTCCAGCACATATATATTTAATGAAACAATTATTAAACATCTTTATATAATCAATAATTTTCTAAAACTTGAACTGCTAAATCAAATAGAGACATTTTTCTACATTTTGCTTACCTTACACAAATGTAATACTAATTGGCACTCCAGAAATTACTCTGACCAGAAGTAAACATTTGATTTAAAACATGATGGATCATCATAAGAATTGCTCCCCAAATGTTTCTGTGTCTTCCCTTATTCAGGCCACAACGTGAGATAGCACTTAGTGCTCCCTTGAAGTTAAAGTGATGATGTGACTTGCTTTGGGGACAATACCATGTGGACAAAAGTGATATGTGTTTACTTCTGGGTAGAAGCTTTCAAAGGTAATACATGATAGTTACTCTTTCTCGCTCATTTCTGATACAGAATTTGCAAAATTGCAGAGAGTGGGTTAATCTGAATGCCTGAGTCTTGGAATGATGATAATGTAGAACAAATAAAGTATCTAGGTCATATTCTATGGGCAGACAGAAACATGAAATAAACTTAGCTGCTTTAATCCACTGAGGTTAGAAAAGTTGTCACCACAGCAAAATCTTAAACAAAAGCTTAACTGTATCCTGATTAGTACCTATGTTATATTAGAATCAGGGAGGGTTAAAGAAACTATGAAAATATATTCTAGGCTGTGGTACATTAACAATGGTTCTGAACACACAAAAGAGATCAAGCTTAAGAGCTATTTTCTTAAATGCACAAAGAGAAACTATCACAGAGTTAAAAGGGAAATAGAAATGCATACTGCCAAAACTCTCTAATTTTAGAAATGAGGAAGTTAATGCTCTGAGAAGTTTAGTAATTTATCCAAGGTGACAAAGTCAGGATCAGGATGAAAGATATGTCTTGCGAGAAATGGAATTGGTAGTATTTTTTAAATAAGACTACTTAAATTTATTTTTCTGATTTTAGAGACGGAAACCTCTCTCCTCAGAGAGGTTAAAATTAAATAGTAATACGCCATATAACTTAGTTGATTTAAAAGGAATGGAAGTTTAATGTGATTTTTTTGGTAGGTTTAAATTGTATTTTTTTTTTAAAGATTTATTTATTTATGCATATAAGAGCTGGGATACAGGCCAGAGGTGTGGGGGGTGAGAGGATCCACCAGAGACAGAGTGGGGAACAGAACAGTCAGATTGACTGAAACATACTGCTGAGGGGAGCAGCGGACAGAAGAGGTCTGCTTCACTATGTGGATTGCTCCCTGGCAGGCTGGGGATCGAACTCGTGCTGCAGAGGCCTCAGACCACTTCATAGTGCGGTACTTAACCCCTTGCGCCACCAGGAAGGCCCTAAAGTGTATTTTACAATATGGAAGATAGTCATTCACAATGTTTAGAGACTAAAGAAAGGTAGTCAAGAGAAATAAACTAAACGAAAATTCAGAACCCTGATTCCCAGCTTCATAAAATACCAGAATTAATAATTAAACTCTTTGGTTCAGTATTCATTGCTTTGATACCTATTGAGTACAATCTACTTCAGAACAAGCTTTTTCAAAAGAGTGAAATAAATTGATGTTTAATTGTCGACTTGTCTATGAAATCTGAACTAGAAACAGATTGGTTATTCAGAGAGCCAATTTCAAATAGTACTGAAAACTGTATAGATCACGTACTACACATACTTAAAAGATGATTTCATCAGATTTTTTAAAAAGAATTTGAACTTCTATTAAAGGCAGTAGGACTTTAAAAGGAAAACTAAACTTAGGAAAACTGGATATATACCAAATCAATTCAAATATTGAGTGTTTTAAGAAATTCATACATCTAGTGACTATATTTCAGCCCTAATAAATATAGTGTAACTAAATAAAATAAACCTCTAATTGTAAACATAAGCCATAAACCCACTGGTAAGATGGAAAAAAAGTGCTGCAAAACTCTAGCATCTTCATGATGTAATCTAATTTCTGGGATCTATCCAGGACCAAGAAAAACAATTTACTTTTTTCCTTACTTCACTGTGTCATTAAGACATAGTACTGATAATTAAGAAGCAGTGATTTAATAACCTTAGATTCTAATCAATGCATATATATTATCAGAAATTTTTCTCCCAAATAACTAACAGTAATCCTAATATAGGGAACAATTTATTATGTAGAATTAAAAAATATATGGCAATATGGGTTTTTTAAACATACTTCTGTTAGTTATGAAAGATGTAGTTTTACTTGACTAAATCAAATATTGAAAGACTTTAGAATCACAGAGTTCTTGTCTAGATGAAATGGTCTATGTTTTTCATTCAAACAATCTTTTTGTTTAATAGAGAAAAACTGATTTTTCCATGGCCACAGTTAATGTCAGAGTGGAGATTAGAAGTTATGTTTACTGGCCCAGGGGTATTTGCTGTTACAATACTAGGAGGTGAAAAAAATTAAAATAAGCTAGATTATACTGCCATAACAACTGCAAAACATATAGTGGTTCATAGGAAAAGTTTTTTCTAAAAAAAAAAAATAAAAAGGAAAAGTTTATTTCTCGATCAAGGAACGAACACTGCAACTGCTGTCGCTGTGGTGGCTAAGTACTCCTGGGTGTGTGATCTGATGCCTTCTTCAGTTCAACATGTACTTCCACAATGACCACTACATGGGAGAAGAGCATGGAGAATCACACACTGACATTTAAATATTTCTGCATGGAGATTGATTATATTCATTATTTCTGCTGACATTTCACTGACAAAAGCAAGTTGCATGACCACATTTAACTTTAGGGGGAAAGGAAATATCATCTGCCCACAACAGGAAGAGAAATACCATCTTCCCACATGTCAAAAAGAAGAGGAAAACCAGAACATATTGGTGAGCATTAGTAATGGCTACCACCATAGACAACACACTTCTGTCAGAAATAGGCTACCCCATGCTTTGAAAGCAAATTTGAGCTGATTAATATGAATTCCAACAAGTTTACTTAAGCCAACTAAGTGTGAGTTTGAGGTGAGAACTTAGACCCTATCCATTTGGAATTGTAAGAATAATGCCTGCATTCATAAAATACTGCCTTAAAAATAAATAGAGAAATCCTGCCTCCCTGTAATATTCTATACAATGATCCTGGTTCTAGATACTCAAATGTGTCTATTATCTCTCTTTTTGGACCCTTGTGAAAGTATTCAAATATTGTATTATCTTACTTGTGTCTTCTCCTTTGTGAGTGAATTATGCTAGGTTCTCTGGAAATATTTCAAATTTGTCACCACCCCTGCAAAACTAATAGTTCAGTAATAATCTGATCATTAAAGAAAAAAAAATGGGAATGATTAGCTCCATTTTTTTGAATTCTTTATTTCAATAGTTTTAAACTATATTAACTTCTAGGAATCACATCTCACAATTTACTTAGTTTGAATATATAAATTCCAATACAAGTCTTCACACATGCTGCTTAGCTCATCTCCCATAACCTCACACTTGTGCTAAGAATTGTTTGTTGTTACAGAGTAAAGTCCAGGATTTTAATTTATCAATTTTTTTATCTTACTAAATTCTGCTTATTTTTCCAGATTAAATGTCAGCAAACCTTTTCTATATAGGGCCAAATAGTAAATATTTTAGTTTTATGAGCCATATAAAATTTCTATTGCATATTCTTGTTTTTCTTTCTTTTTATTCAAAGCTTTAAAAGCATAAAAAACATTCTTAGTCTTAGAGTTGTACAAAAACAAGTTGCACGATGGATTTGGTCCCACAGGCTATAGTTAGTTATGACTATTTTTGGATTCTGATTTGACTGACCAATATATCAGGATCTCTAACCTCTCCAGCTTCTGTCACTCACATATTTTATCAGAATAACAGAAAAATACTGTCTGCTATTCATTAAATCAAAAAGTTAAACAGAATTGGCCCACAGATAAAACCTCATGGCATGCCAGTACAGATTTTTCTCCAAGCTGGCATTAATACATTACTTCATATTCTATAGGTATACTGGAATCACAATTCCAGTTAACCGTGTTGTCATACAACTGACTCACTATAAAAAATACTCTGTTATCTACATTATCTACACATTCCTTGAAGCGAATCTATAATATCCAAAACAGAAATCTAATTTTGCCTGGCATGAATTGTTTTAGTGAACTAATGCTGCCTCCTAGTGATGAATTCCTTAAGTACTCACACAGTCATTCTTTAATCCACTTTAGTTTTCTTTCATGTCTTAAAGTTTACTGTTATAATTTATGGACTTTATATTCTTCCCTTCTGTGATAAAAAGACAGATTAGGCCATCCTACCTACCTTTCAGCTACTCTATTATACCTATGCTGCTTCTCAGCTATAACTTTCTATATGGATTAGCAAATTTTTATCTTTACTCAGTGCTCTAGATCAAAGATTGGCAAACTCCAGTCCACAGGCCAAATCAAGTCAGCCAAAGGCTCTTATAAATAAAGTTTTATTGGAAGAGTCATGCTCAAACATTTATGTATTGTCCAAACCTGCTTTCAAGTAGTTTTCAAAAGGGTTTGTATAGCCCCCAAAGCGTAAAAACTCTTACTGTCAAGTCCTTCACAGTAAAGATAAAGTATGCTGGCCCCTGCTCTAGGCGAGGATCTGGATTCAAACTTTTCTGTTCACCCATTTCAGGCTTCATTATTAATGATATCTATTTCTACTCTTATAAGCTAAAAGTTACTCTTCTCAACAGAGATAACAAAAGCAAAATAGGAATTGAGATAGGATCCCAAGCTTCCTTGGCCTGACTAATCACTCTGGTGTTCATAAAACTCATCATGTACACCCCAATTCATCCTCTGGGCTGCTAACCAGATAGACAATCTTTTTAATACCTAAGTCCAACTGAACTACCTCAAACTCTTCAAGGGCTTCTTATTAAGTCCAAGACAAAAATCTAAACTCTTTATTATGACTTAAAATGTTCCTCATAAAATGTCCTTGCTTGTAAGACATTCATTGATTCTGCTCTCCGCCAACCCCCCATCATGTATATTCATTACTCAGACATGAACTATCAGTTGCTGTATTCTTTCAGCACTCCTTTATATTTTGGATGCCATCTCTCTCCCTAGAACATTCTCCACAGACACAACCTCCTCTTTCTTTGCCACTCCTTAAGACTCAAGTCAGTTATTTTCTCCTTTGAAATTTCTCCTATTTGTTCAGTAGACACAGAAGTGTCTTGTTCCTCAAAAACACTGTGCCATGTATGTGCACGTAAATGTATCTGGTGATTTATCTTCTTATCTAACCAGCTTACCATTTTGCATTATACCTATGTCTGCCTCTATCTAGACTGTGAGTAACCTGAAGGCATGAATATATGACTCAGATCTTAGTATCTCTACCGTCTCATATAGACCCCAGCAAAGAGACTTTTCAATTCAGCGTACCTAAGGGTGCCTTAGAAAAATGTTCATAGAACCAGAACCTGGACCTGTCACCCTTATATCCTGTTCCACATTGATTTTGGCATACTATTTGTTTTTTTATCATAAGGACTACTGAAAGATGAGCTTTGTAAAGACATGATGTCATAGGGAGCAATGCAATGTGACCTAATGTTGAAATGGCAAATTACATTAAGCTAGTAGTTTTCTCAGATCTCACAGATATCAAATATTTCTCTTGAAAATTAAAAATATTCTACAGTGCCCCTGTCAGTTCATTTCAGCATCCTTGGCATACAGCTTGAGAGCAACAGCCCTTGTGCATAGAAGTTCATTAGTATTTGTGTAATTTACTCTAGCTAGAATGTTTACATGGTAAATTAAAAATTTACTTATAATTTTTATTAAAAATTATTTTTAAAGTAAAAAAATAGTTATAGAACAGGTGTGAGAAAACTTTTCTACCCAGATAGTGACATATTTTATTCTTGAAGGCAGGTCATATAACTTCTCTAGCAACTACTCAGTTCTGCCACTGTAGCATCAAAGCTGACATATATCATATATATAAAGGGACATGACTGTGTTCCAAAACAACTTCACAAAAATATCAGCTCAAGGACTATTGTTTGCCAATGCTATTACAGTATATTACTTCTTTACCAAAGTTACTGAAAAGTTATAAACAAAAAATGAGAGTAAATACCATGAGTGTACTCTGATATGAATAAATTCAAATGTGTATCAGGAATGGGATCACAACAGGAAAAGAATATCTTGAGAAAGAGATTAACTTTAAAAGGAGAAGCCTGACAGATGCCATCTTAATTAAAGTGAAAATCATCAACAAAGGGAAAAATATAAATTGTACATCACTTGATAGGATGCAAGGAGAATGCAAAATCACTTCTGTGATATTTCTGCCAAAGATCTCTAGCTACAAGTTAATCATTTGAAAATATATTTTTAAAATCTGAATTGAGGGTCATTCTACAAAATAAATGTCAAAGTCCTGAAAGTCAGGGAAAGGAAATGATAATGAAAAATGGTGACAACAAAGATATGACAGCAAAATACATTTACTTGCAATGTATAATTCCAAACTGGATCATTTTGCTCTAAATAACATTATTGATATAATTGGTGAGATTTGAATGTGGAATGAAAATTAGACACTAGTAATTTTCAATGTTTATATCCTGATTTTGTATGTTATATTTATATAGGAGAATGTCTTTGCTTGTAGGAAATACACATTAATGTGTTTAGGTTGTTGGGAAATCAAGTAAGCAGCCTACTCTCAAATGATTTAAGGAAAATAGCAGTGTGGGTGCTAGAACCAGACTGCTTGAATTTGATCCTAGCGCGCCCATTTTCTAGCCATATAACTTTTGACAATTTATTTAACCTACATATACCTGATTTTCTTCAAAGTAAAAAGAAGATAATAATTATATTAAGTCATGGGGTGGTTATAATGATAAAACAAAGAATAAAATCTTAGAGTATTGTGAAATTTCATACTGTACTTAAAATTTTCCTATAACTTTGATACTGTCCCATCCCTCATGATCTTCCTTCTTTTCCCTACCAGGCAAACACTTCCCATGGAATGCACAAGATAATGATTATACACATTATTATTCTCCTTTTTTTAGGCATGGAAGTAGGTAAAATTTACTCACTCTACAAATCTTTATGGAATACTACAATCTCAGCATTGTGTGAAATAGAGGCAAGGAAATAAACATGTACAGAATATCTGAACAGAACATCTGTATGTGTCAGGCAAGGAAGAAAATTACTTCTACCCTTAAGGAATATATATATATATATATATATAATTAGCTAGATAGATAAGACTGAACAGAAACTCACTATGAGAAGGATAATATGTAATGAAGTACTAATTTATATAGGTGGATTAGCTTCATTTCCTATTTCACTAATCTCAACCTCATCAGGGAGAGCAATTAGAAATACCAAAGATTCTTAGTTAAAAAAGATAAAGATATGAAACAGTATTGTCAGTATAGAGCTGAACTGAGAGAACAAAGATCTATATTACTATGCTAGAACAAAGAGAGGGAAGAGTCCTAGAAGATCCCTGGTATTCATGAATTCATCAATAATTGCTGCTATCAGTAAACCACCTCAAATATCCATGACATAGCTGAGGTCGATTTTGTACACATGTTGCTGCAATTCAGTTGCAGTGGGTCAATTCCACATCAATGGGTCAATTCCATCAAAATCCACATTAAAATTACCAGTATAGATATGAGAAAACAGTAGATATTTTTCTAGGTCAGAGATTGTCAAACTGAGATTATGAATAGGTATTTTCAAAGAAAAAAATTTAAATAAATTTAGAATGCAATAAAACAAATTAGGGCAGATTTCCTTATTACAGAACTTCTTGGAGCCAATAATATTCTAATGTGCACTGTACACCAGAATACATGTGTATTTTATTTCATTTAGATCAGAAGCTATATCAAAACATCTAAATGTAGAAAATATCTAGCATGGAGACAGAATGAATAAATGGCTACCTTGAGTGGAACTGCATCAATAACAACAGCAGCTCCATATGGAGCTTTCTAGAAACTTCACACTACGCTGAGGTTTATTTTATCTTTATAGCCACCCTATGACATAATATAATTATTATCTTCATTTTACTTTGAAGAATATAAGGTATATGAAGGTTAAATAAACTGTCAAAGATAAAATGGGTGAGCTAGGATTCAGATTCAAGCAGTCTTGTCCCAGCACCCACACTATTAACCACTGAACTCTGTAACTTATCCACAAAATTCTTATTCAACCATTCCAAATTAAACTATTAGTTGCATATTAAGCAAGAATGTAAACCAATCATGATGATTAGCTAGAAGACTGAATTTAAAAGCTCTACTCAATAGAATTGGGAAGAGCGGGCAAGTGGTTAAAAATCCATAATTAAGAAATATATAGCCATGATAATACATAGTTCATTAAAATTAACAAGCACATCAAGCAAAGAATATACACCCCAATTTTCTAATCCATACCAAGGAAAACAATATGTAAACACTTTAGAAGTGTTCTCACCGTGATTCTCTTCATATCTAGTTGGCGCAGCTGCATCATATTCTGAAGGATGGTGTGTTTGTACCATGACTCTTGAGCTATTGGATTGCCATCAAAAGTGATATCTGAGAGAGAAGTAGAGTCAGCAAGGCAGCAAACACTTTCAAAACTGCAGGAGAGACAAAAACCACTAGATTATTTATGACACCTTCAATTGGTGCTTTCATTTGTTTAATAGACATAATTCTTTTCAGAACAGTTTTAGATTTACCAAAAAAAATTGAGTACCGAATCCTTATATTTCCTTATTAGTAACATATTTGTTCATATAGAATATTTATTATAATTAATGAGCTAATGTCTCTACATTCTTACTAACTCAAGTTCCTATTTTATGCAGATTTCTTTAGTTATTACCTAATGTCATTTTTCTGTTCCAGGACCCCATCCAGAATAGCGTATTACATTTAGTTGTCATGTCTCCTTAGGTACCTCTTACCTAGGGCAACTTCTATACTTTACCTATGGCAAAGTCTAAGAAGACTTTTCCTGTTTTTGATAACCTTGACATTTTTGAGGAGCATTTGTAAATTATTTTGCAGGATGTCCCTCTGTTGGAATTTGCTTGGTACTTTTCTCAAGATTAGACAAGTCAAGGTATAATCGGTAAACAAGACTTGTCATTGTTAATGCAGACCTCATGATCACCTGGCTGAGCGAGAGAAATCTACTTCAGATTTCTCCAATGTAAAGTTATTCTTCTCTTACTCTCCGTACTGCATTGGAAGCAAGTTATTATGTGCAGCTCAAACTTAGGGAGTGGGAAGTTCAGCTTTTCCTGTTTGGGGGCAGAGTATCTACATAAATTATTTGAAAATCCTCTTCCTAGGAATGTTTTATCCTCCCATTTATTTTCTTATATCAGTCCAGCTACTGGACTTTGCTACTGGGGTATCATTCTTCTAAATCCTCTGCTGACAGAGCAAGGAAATGTATGTGTGATACTAATTTATGTGTATACGTGTATCTCTTTGTAACCATCTGTGTGTATAATAAACTAAATGTGAAGCATTTTGCAAAGTCTGACTTTAACTACCTAAATGAGTACTATAGACTCCTTCCCTTACTTATCTGTAAATTCCTGCTCTAACAAGGAGAAATATGGCTTCCATCACCACTCATTCATTTACTGAAGTGGTTCAATTACAGACTACATTTATAGTGGTATCAGACTTTTCAACCTGTACCCCTACGGGAAACAACTTTATCAACTAAAGTACAATATTTACATGTAATTCCTTTTGCATTCAGTCTTTTTTTTTTTTTAATATTTTCTGACCATTTTTCTTTTTCTTTTTTTTTTTAAAGATTTATTTATTTATTTATACAAGCACTGGGTACAGTCAGAAGCACGGGAGGGTGAGAGAATTCACCAGAGCAAGAGTGGGGAGCAGAGCAGGCAGAAGGACCGAAGTACACTGCTGAGGGGAGCAGCGGACGGCAGGAGAGGTCCATGCAGGACCCTCCTCCGGTGACCGGTGAGCAGCAGGGGATGGAACCTGCGCCCCGGAGGCTTCGGGCAGCTTCGCAGCTCAGCGCTCAACCGCTGTGCCACTAGGGAGGCCCTGCATTCAGTCTTATAGACTCACTTTTAAAGTTATTTAGGTCAGCACTTCACCCACCCCCTATTCTCTAGGGTGGCTGTTACATAGAATTGAAATACTGTTAAATTATGTTGTCACAGTCTGCATGCTTTCCTGGGATCCTCCAACCTCTTATTTTTTTTAATTTGTATATATTAAGTTCACTCTTTGTGCTATGAAGTTTAATTGGTTTTGACAAATGCATAGTGTCATATATCAACCATCAAAGTATACTACAAAATAGTTTCATAACCCGAAAAAAATTCTCCTGTTTGACCCTCCACCCTCATACCAAATCTCTGGCAACCATTAATCTTTTTATTGTCTCTATAGTTTTGGCTTTTTCAGACGTGATATAGTCAGAATCTTATAGTAGGTAGCCCTTTCAGACTATTTTCACCTAACAACATGCATTTAAGCTTCATCCATATCTTTTTGTGGTCCCATAGCTCCTTTTTTTTTTTTTATCAATGAGTAATATTCCATTGTATGGATCACTACAGTTTGTTTAACTATCCACCTACTCAGAATATTTTGGCTACTTCCAGTTTTCGGTATTTATGAATAAGGCTGCTATCAATATTCATCTGATTTTTGTTTGGACATAAGTTTTCAACTCAACTGGGAAAACAAGTAATTGTTGGCTCATACAGCAAAACTATGTTTAGCTTTATAAGGAAATGCCAAACTGTCTTCCAAATTAGCTGTACCATCTTGCATTCCTATCAACTTCACATTCTGATCAGCATTTAGTATTTGTCAAGCTTCTTTTTCATTTTAACAGTTCCAGTGGATATACAGTGGGTCCTTATTGCTTTATTTGGTCTCCCATAGCCAAGCCTTATATCCCACCTTTCTCTCTTGACCCTTTCTCTCTTCCCCATCCTCTTAGCTCAGAAACTTCACTTCACTTATCAATGTCCACTAGTTTTTATAATTATTTTGTTAAATCACCCACACTATAAATGTCCTCTATTTGTCTTTCTGACTTGCTTTACTACACATTAATTCTCTCAATTGCTTCTATTTTGCTATAAATGGCAAGATTTTGTGTTTGTATCACTGAATAGTATTTATTGGTATGGATATAACGTATCCTTTTTGATCCAGCCCCCTATCAGTGGGCCCTTAAGATGTTCCCATGTTCTAGTTATTGTAAGAAGTGCTTCAATAAAGATTGTAGAGTGTAGGCTTTCAAGTCAATGTGTTCACATTCTTTGGATAGATGCCCAGGAGTGGGGTTGCTGAATGGAAGTACACATGGTACTTCCGTTTTTAGTTTTTAAAGGTATATCCAGATCACTTTGCAAAATGGCTTTACCTGTTTACATTCTCAACGCTGTGTGATAGGGTTCTTTTTTCTCAGAGTCCTCTCTTGCACTTGTTGCTGGAGGTCTTTTTACTATATGCCATTATTATGGGTGTGAGAGGATATCTCATTGTGGTTTTAACCTGCATTTCCCTTATTAGAAGCAAAGATGAACATTTTTTCATTTATCTGTTGGCTCTGTCGATATCCTCTTTTGTGAATCACCTGCCCAGTGATTAAACAGATTGTTTGTTCTTTTATTGTTGAGTTTATATGTTTATTATATATCTTGGTAGTAAATCCCTGTCAATTGCGTAATTTATAAATATTTTCTCCCAGTCAGTAGGATTTCTTTTAAATCTACTTTTATTTTCTTTCACTGTATGTGAAATTTTAAGTTTTAGATAATTCCAGTTATTTATTTCTGCATTTACTTCCCTTGCCTTAGGTCTTGAGTCTTTAAGAATATCTTTTTGAATTGTGATTTTTCTTGCTTTTAAAAAGCCTGTTTTGCAATTATCTTCCCTGTTAAGACTGCACTTAATCCCATAGATTCCAGTAACTTGTATCCTCATTTTCATTGTTTTAATTTCCTTGTAATCCAACAGCTATTAAGCAGCATATTGTTTAGTCTCTATATATTTAAGGTTTTCCCAATTATTTTTCACATTTGATTTCTACCTTTGTAGATAGTCTATAGATAGATTTCTACCACTATAGATAGATTCTAATTTGTTATTTGACATTTACATACAAGCTAGACTGTAGAAAATTTATTATTTCTTATTCCTAATTGTACTTTTAAACTAAAATAAATGTAGCTATTCCCAGCCCTACCTCTCAAATATTCCTTTGGGGAGTAGAATTAGTCAAATAAGTGCCAAATGGTTAGTATTAAATACAAAACTAAACTATCTTCATTGAATTCCTATATAAAACAGTTTACTGATATGAAAGAAAATAGTATGCTCTTTCTCAGCAAATATAGTCATTATAAAACACTACAGAAGACCAATAGATGTCCATTTAGTCTACTCTGTAACTCCAAGCACAAGCAAAAAGAGGCACCAGGAATGGGAAAATTATTGTAATCCTCAGCAGGTACTATCTGGTGGCCACTCCCAGATTGGCTACTCGCATTGACAACCAGACTAATGTCTTTATGCTTTGAATTGTTTCATCAAAGTAATATATGCCCATGTTTGATCCAGAAGATTTTTCACAAAATTTCATTCCATCTGCAAGGCACTTGACCAATAAACATGCCAGACATTCCTAGAAACTAATATAAAATAACTAGAGTGAAATATAAGATAAGAAACTAACATTGACAAAGTGCTTATGATTTAAAGATTTTTCTCTAACCAAATGAAACAAGACTTTTAAAGCAAAGTACAGAGAAATAAAGGATTATTGCATATCTAACAAAAGAAAATCAAAACCAATTGTTCAAAAAAGAACAAAAACCAATAAAATTTAGAAATAGAACATTAAACATAGTAGAGTAGTACTGGCTTACTAATGTTCTCTCAGTTATACAGCCAAATTTCTAGGGTTTGTTGTTAGTTTTGCTTTGTTTTGTTTTCTCTGTATTCTGCCTGTAAGTTACAGGAGGCTCCCAGAGGAGCAGAAGGGAGAGAACAACATGGAGAGGGAGTACAATGGACTGTGATAGAAGAATATGGGTGTCTTGGTGGTGGGTGTGGTGTTCTAACAACACCTGAAGGGGGAGACCCTACACCACTAATTATATACAGTGTTGTAAACGAATATTACCTTAATTAAAAAAAAATTAAAAAGTATAGTCTCTTTTTAAGAATACTCTGTTACTGGTCTCTTCAGAGTATTAGGAATGGAAAAATTTTAGTCCAAAGGCTGACACTGAACTCATAATTTGACTTTAATCTTTTTCCAGATTACTCATACACTGTTCTTCCCCTACTAGTCTCCTCCAATTGCCACATCTGCTTCCTATCTAGTAAAGAACCTACAGAGGAACCATTTGTCCCTGCTGACCAAAACACACCTCAAAAGGAAAATATTTTAGTCCATCTTATGTTTACTTAATAAGATACAGAGAAAGATGTCTCACATATGCATGTATACCACATAAATACTCAGCAATTTTCAAATATCAGTGAAATTTCTCCAGCTAGAATGTTTTCCCCTTACCCGCCCCTCCCCCCCAAAAACATTAAACACATTAGGTACTTTAGA